TTAACTGGGCAAAATCTTCAACAATCACTGACCTCAAAGAACATTGAGGTGGGGCCCCACAGGGTGTTCAGGGAACCTCCCCACCCTGTTCTCAAGTCTCTGCCCAAGGCCAGGGCTATGTGGACATTGCCCAACCTGGCATCTTGCTGGGGATACCCCTGTGGGTCCTGCCTCAGACCAAGGCTCTGGGACACCCAGCTCCTTGACAAGAAATATTCCAGAATAATGTCATTAAATATTAGTACTATTTACTAGAGTCATACAGTCTTGTGCCCACATGTCCCTCTTGTCAAACCCTGGGAACACTGAGTCAGGTGTCTTGAGAGAAGGCTCCGGTCTCTGCCGAATTCCTGAAGGGTAGAGTCAAGTACAGAGCAGTTTCCCTGTCCCCACACCCAGAGGAGCCTCTCCTAGCTCAAGAATTCACTGTGGTTCCTGGGAAGGGGAAGAGTGGGGTGACTCTTCAAAGTACCAGTTTCCTCTGAGAGGCAGGGCTGGGGGGCAGCCTACCCCAAAGGGACCTGGACAAAGCCCATGGCCACAGGGCACAGCAAAGAAGGGTCTCCCTGGAATCCCTAGGCAGCCAGAGCTGGGGTGGACAAACAGTGCTGGTGACCCCACTGGGAAATAAATGCCTATCTCCTGCCCCCTACCCATTTCTCTCTGCAGACTGCTCCGGGCAGAGAAAAACGATGTTGCTTAGCAGACCTGGCGTGCCTCCACCCAGGAGGAGCCCTGAGAGCGATATGGCCTGAGTGAGATAAAAAGGCCTCTCAGAGCTGAGGACAAATGAGTCCAGGCAGCCAGTGTACTCAAAGCAGCCGACCCAGGAGAGAGCACATTGGCCTCTTGGGCTCCCAACCTGGCCTCCAACTCAGGTGTCTCAACAGCTGCTTTGACTCATCTGTAAAGACCAGGAACACTGAATAACCCCCCCGGAAACTAAACCTCCCCAGATGGCTCTTGGAGGCTCTTGCCGGGGAAGCACAACGGGTAGGCACAGGGTCACAGAGTCATGGCAGAGGCTCCATGCACCACTTTCTCTCTTGAAGGCAGGGTCCTGGGGCCAGGGAGTACTGGCAGGAGAGGTCACCCCCTCCCCAAGTGAGGTTGAAAGGGGGCACTATGGACTTCCAGAAAATCTCCTTAATGACAACAGAGCAGCCAGGAATGTGCTCCCCTCCCCCTGCCTCCCAACAGAATGAGGAGAGTGTATGCTGTAAGCACACCCCATGCAAAGCAGAAAGCAGAGCAGACTCTGCACTCTCTGCTGCCCCCACCCCAGGAAAGGACCCCAGCTGGGGTCTGGGGACCAGCCCTCACTTCTGGCTCTCCCAAGGCCCAAGGGAAGTACCAAGGGCCACTGGAACACAGTGGCAGTTTAGGAGATCTCCCAGACTCTACCTCTGTCCCTACTCTTGAGGAACGTCCTCACTGAAAAGCTTCTGACCTACAGAGACTTGAAGAGATTACAAAATCATGACCCCTCGGCCAATTTCCAGACAGAGAAGCCAAATTCCTTGAAACCAGCAGACACTTCTGAAAGGCCCAGGTGCGTCCACAAAGGTGTAGTGAGGAAGCTAAGGAGTTCACCCTCACTGGGTGCTGTGCTCATGATGTTTTCTCATCCTCTCAACATCTGTGACAACAAGGCTCGGCATGTGTAAGTGACCAAACTAAGGCCACACCGCAAAAACTCAGCAAGGCACAAGTCAAAACTGCCCCTAATGTCTGGAAAGGCACCAAAAATTTTAATAAACATCATGTTTGAGGAAAAAGACTGGCAAGATGCAGAATTTGTTCTCTCTTATTTTACACTTTCTAAAATGTTTCATTTTTCTCACCATGGGCTCCCACTGGCTTTTCTTTTCTTTTTGAGACAGCCTCTCGCTCTGTTGCTCAGGCTAGAGTGCAGTGGTGTCATCATAGCTTATTGCAGCCTCAAACTCCTGGGCTCAAGTGATCCTCCTGCTTCAGCCTCCCGAGTAGCTGGGACTACAGGTGTACTTCACCACAGCCAGCTGATGTTTTCTATTTTTTGTAGAGATAGGATCTCACTATGGTGCCCAGGCTGGTCTCAAACTCCTGACTTCAAGTGATCCTCCGACCTCAGCCTCCTAAAGTGCTAGGATTACAGGCGTGAGCCACTGCACCCTTCCTCCTATTACCTTTTCTAGTTTTTAAATGAACAAAGGTCACCTGGAATTATGGGTCTTTTTTTTTCTCTTTTAGTGCTGTTGTGTTACTATTCTTTTAATATCATTAAAATTATATTAATCTGCCACCAAAGGGTATACTCAATTGCCTCAAGGAAGAGTAGGGATATAGAGTGATCCCAGACTCTGGAATCCCTTTTCCGGGGGGCCCCCACAGAGAATTGCCCAGGCTAACTTCAGAGAGGCTTGTGCAAGCTCTGGTCAGAGCCCCAGGAGCTGGGTTTGAGTCCTGACTGTCATGAGCGAGCACTGTGTGCAGATCCCTTATGGAAACTAATCCCCAATTCCCTGCCCATAAAATAAAGAAGGTGAACCACCTCTCCCATAATCCTTCCCCTGCCTCTGCTCACACAGACCCAGACTGTCTTCCTCAAAAGCCACTTCTGGTCTTGGCTTCCCCTGGACTGGACCACAGGTTCTCTCCCTGCCCTCCTCCTGGCTCAGGTCTCTGCAGCCTGACAGCACCTTGAGTTACAAACTCCTGCAGAGGGTCCCCTGGAGCCCGAGTTAAGGCGGCCTCCATTGGCATATGAATTCCCATGGGAAGAGTCTAAGCCCCGCCCTCCTCACCCAAAGCTCACCTGTCTCAGGTGAAAGCCTCAAAGGGCCACACCGCAGCTACCCTGGTTACAGTCAGTTCTCCCCATAGCCAAGGCCCAATGTGTCCACCAACTGTCCAGCCAGAGCAAACCAAGACACGCTTTCTTCGGCAAGACTGAATCTTCCACTTCTCGCCAAGTCCCAAAGCGCGAACCCCACCCGTCAGCGTGGAAAATAGACTGGGTCTCAGCACCGTCGCCTAAAGGTGTCCAAAGCTGACCCGGACCTAAGTCCCTCCCGCGGGCTTCCTGCGTCCGGGGATTAGGAGGCACAAAGGGCCGGCAGGGAGAGGGCGCAGATGGCAGGCACAGGGGCTAAGCCGCCGGCGTAACGCGCTCCGGCCGCCGCTCGCGGAGAGGGGGTCGGGGAGACGCGAGTCGCCGGACTCCTCGGCCAGGAGCCTTGCACGTGGGCCCCAAGACTCCAATCTGCGCCCGCGGTGCCCCCGCACCCAGCCGGGCCAGGCACCTGTTCCCCTGTTCCCAAAAGCCAACACTATTGTGCAAACCCAAAACCCAAGTTCGATAATCGCGGGCGGGTCAGGCCGAGAGAAGTTCCCAGCGGCACTTTCTACAGGTGTCTTTCTCTCGGAGGTGCCAAGCGACGGGGACAAGAAGGGCAAGGCGGGCGGACCTGGGCGCAGCGCTCCCCGCCCGGGCCAGGAAGCCCAGGGGTCTCTGCCTTCCCCTGCCTCCCCGCCCCGAGTGGCGGGCGCCCCAAGGGGGCGGGCCCGGCGAGGTGAGTCCGGCCCGCACCTCACCTGGACTCCCGGGCCGGCCCCCGCCCCAGGTCTTAGCGTCCCTCGGCGCCCACCGCCTGCCCGGCTCGTTCCGCCGCGCCGGCCCACGGGCTGCTGGGCCGCGGTCTCCTTCCTGCTCACCTCCGGCGCGGCGAGCCCGGGGCGGAGTCGCGCTATTTACATAAAGGGCGAGCCAGCCCGGCCGCAGATCCCCCAGCGCCCCGCCCCCGGCCTGGCCCCGCCCCCAGCCCTGCGCCGACGGGGCGGGGGCGCAGCGAGGGCGCCCTCGGGGGCGGGGGCCGCACCCGGGCCAATCCGCGGCCCCCGGGAACGCGGGGGCGGGACCGTGACCTTCATGAATATGCGCGAGGCGCTGCCGGCCCGCCCCGGGCCTTACCTGAGCGCACCTGGCCGCAGGACGGCGCGCCGCGCCCAGTGTCCCGCCGCCTCCCGGAGGCGGAAATAGTTCCCGGAACGCGCGGCTGCCCCGGGCCGCCTCCCAGGCCGGACTCCAGAGGCGAGCCGTCCCTCCCACCACTCCCCCGAGCTGCCGAGGGAGGGGCGTAGCCGGGCCAGCTCCTCCCGAGAGCGCTCAGCCCAGAGACGACGACCTGTGGATGCAGGGCCAGGTTTCAGGTCCCACGTTGGGGACTAGCGTCGTGGCGAGACGCCTCCCTCCGGGCGGGCCCCACCTCCTCCATGTCCACTGCGGTGACAGGCAGGTGCCCGAGGCCCTGAGGGACAGCAACAACTGCCGAAGTTTTTAGCACCAGCGAGGGAGGGGGTTGGAGTGACAAGAGGCAAGAACGGAAGGGGCGTGCAGGCCTGGGGCGAGAACTGACCCGATCCATCGACCCCATACTGCTGGTGGCCCCTTGGAACACTGGGGTTCAAGCCACACCGACATGGACCTCTGGGCCACCCTTCTACTCTGACCGAGCTGCGCTCAGGGAAGGGCTGACAGAGCACCAGCCTCCCTCCAGAGTACCCTGCAGGAACCCTGGAAAGGCTGGAAAGGTTCCAGGTCCCTTTCCTGTCCACCCAGGGGCTTCCCGCACTCTTCGGTCCTGCACCAGAGAAACTGGTTGTCCCTGTGAGTGGACAAAGGTCGCATGAGTGGCACGGGGGATGTTCCACCAACCACGGGATGGAGGGGCAGGGGGGTTGTCCAGTATGTCCAGCCACAGCAGAAAAGAGATCTATTTTTAATGGCTTTGGCTTTATGGCACCAAGCAGGCACCCTCTCGTTAAAGGCACAGAGTCCTCTCTTCTGCCCCACTTCTTAGGTCTCTCAGATCTAGTCCTGAGTTCCAAAGGGGTCACTGCAAGGCAGCAATCTCAGGCCCCGGGCTTGGAAGCACTGCAGTGGCCAGGGAAGGCTCAGAGCACAGTTTGACTTTTTTGCAAGTATGAGACACCCAGGGCCAAGGCCCAGACTGGCTGCTGAAGCTACAGGTCAGAGTCCGGGTACAGGAGACAGCTGAGGTGGTCCCTGAGGACAGTCCAGGTCCCCCAGAGCAAGCTCCATCCCCCACAGAGCTGTGTGGTCAGTGCTCCAGATCCCTGGGCAATGTGAAGTCCCTGAAGCTGTAGAAGGAGATGTCACCGTGATCCACCAGGGCAAAGATCAGAGGGACGTCACCGCTCTGGTAGGACAACCGCTTGAGGCTGCAGAGGTCTGGGACAGGCTCATCAAATCTGCAGGGAGAAGGGTTAGAGTGAGACCTGGCCACAGCTCACCCATAAGCTCTGAGACCCCAGACCCTCTGAGAAGAGAATGGAGATTTTAAGACAGGAGTTGGGGGTGCAAGAATTCTGATCCCTAGGCTCTCTTGTCTGTGGACTACATGGCCCTGATGGGTTCTCCAAGAGAGCATGAGCCTCAGCTGGGCAGGGGCTAGGAAGAGCAAGGTTCTTACCACTCTTAGCCTGTAAATCCCTCCAATCCATATCTCTTCTGCTGGGTAAGCCTGGGACTAAAGTGGCATAAGAGAGAGACTACCCCAAAATGGCAGCAATGAGGAGCTACAGATTAGGGAGCTTGGGTTCCATAGCACCAACTGGCTGTGTGCCCTTTGGAGGTCACTTAACCTCTCTGGACCTCGGCTTCCTCTCAGGGATTGGCACACTGGCCGGGGTGGAGAGAAGGTCCACTGGAGTCACAGGAGAACTGGCAGCAGCCGGGGGGTGGGGGGCTGCGCTTACTCATTTCGTACCCACTAATGCACATCCGGGCATAAGGTTTGCCAGGGTTATTCTTTCGGAAGGTGGCCACAGCATCAGCCTGATAAACATCAAAACTGATTTCCAAGCCCCCAGACCTCTCCAGCAGTCTGAAAACAGAGTGAGAAACCTCAGGACACCAAACTCTCCTCCCCTACATTCCCTTTCCACTCCCCATTCCCCTCCACCAGTTGCAGGAAGCAACCTCATGCGGCGCAACTGAGGTTGTGAGGTTCCACTCAAGGGAAGGGGCTCCAAACCCTTGGGATAAACTCACCTGTCTATCATTTCTCCCTCTCCCCCAGACACATATGAATGTTAGCTGTCACTCAGAGCTAGGCACGTGGGTTGGGGTCTCTGGAATGATCCTCTAGCTCACACCCAACTTCAAGAGCCAAATCCCAGCTGCCGACTCCTAGGAGACACGCTACTTGGAAACTTACCGGGCACCTCCATCAGCAAGGTGTGTTGTCTGCAGCACAGAGATATGCTGAAGGACCATGGCTACAAGGACAGTGAAAACAAGATGCTGGGAAGAAGAGGCAAGCATCTATAGACTCCCTTGACACTTCTGAATCTGCCATCGAGTTTAAGATTGCCAGATTTAGCAAGTTTTTTCAGTATATGTATGTCCCATGCAATATTTGGAACATACTTATACTGAAAAATTACTTGTTTATCTGGAAGTCCAATTTAACTGATCTGGCAAACCTAACCTAGTTAGCTACAACCTGCCAAGTTCCCATGAGGATTTTCAGTAATTCTGAATTTGTTAGTACATTTAACTTAGACTATTCTTACCCTATTAGTTCTCTGTGCTTAAAATTAAGAGCAGACAGTAAGCCTTCCTTTATTTGGCCAAGATAGCACCTCCTAGATGTGGTAAGGGACCCTGGAATAATCCTGTTAGCTCGAGATGGTTCCAACTAACAGGGTTGGGAGAAGAGGGGACCACAGCTAGTTGGGGGCAAAGCCATTCACATGTACCTTGTTTATGATTTTAAGGACATGGTTGTAGTTTTCACCCCTTCTCACCTCTCCTAGGACACTGACTCACCATCTCTAAACCTTCCCACATAGGCCCTGTCCTGGCCGCAGCCCGGACAACTGACTGTCCTTGTGGGCTCCACACCATTGGACAGCGCCCTCCTCCCACACCTTTCTTAAGCCTCAACCAGTCCTGGTCCATCCATGCCCCTTCCAAAGCCTTATGATTCCTCAGCCGCCATTGGCCAGTGGGGCTGTGGCAGGGTAAGGGGGTACCTGGAGAGTCTGCCTGGCCGGGCTTCAGCAAGGGCGTGACAGGCTGGCCCCACAGGTGTTGGGGGAGGTTCTGGCTCTGCAGGTGCCGCCTCTGCAGCAGGTCCTTGTACTCCTGCCAGCTGGAGCAGCGCTGCACCTCAGGGTCTGCATTTATGTCCTCCTGGAAGTGCCTGGCTTCTGCCTGTTGCTCCTGTTCCCGCCTGGATAGCTTCTCCTTCCGCTGGTTCAGCTTCTGGCACCAGGACTCAGCGTCTGTCTCCCGCCCAGCCACGTTGGCCGGGAGCAGCTCCGGGGCTGGGGCAAGCAGGAGGGTGTGGCGGCTATCGGAAGCCATGTTGGGGAAGGAAATCTGCTCAAAGTTCCAGCGTGGCTTCTGAGCCCCCTGGACTCCATTCCCTACTTTGCCACTCTCCTGGCTGCACCCCACACCCTCCCTGGCCAGGCCAGGGCAGGGCCCCAGGGACCCCAAAAGCTGAAATGGGCCCACTAGGCCCTTTATGGGGCTTGACTCCTGGGATTTCTCTTCTGGGCATCGGCTGTTCTGGTTGCAGGGAGGTGAGCTAGAAGTTGCCAGACTCTCTGGTTGCAGGGAGTTCTCCAGGGCCTTGGCCTTCTTATTAATGGACCTGAGGGAGGTGGGAGGAAAAGCAGCACATCTGCTCCTGATTGCTGAGGTGCACACATCCCACGCAGACATCTCCCTGAGCCTGCGCAGGAGCCGCGCAAGCCTCGCTCCTAAGGCTGTGCATTCTCCAAGGTCCCAGACACCAGCACTCCCTGGGGGGTAGCCATGACAGGGGACATTACCGAGAGCTGGAGCCCCTCCTCTTCCTCTTGCCATCCCTATCCTCCAAGCACTGGGTGCTGCCATCCAGGTTAAGCTGCCTCTCATAAGGGGACAGGACACAGCTGTGAGGTAAGAACAGCGGGTGGGCAACAGCCCCACCTCCTCGGCCTGGAGCTCCGATGGGATAAGTGAGACAGGGCCAAGGGGACAGTCAGTGGGCCACGATCCGAGGCACACCCAAGGGCCCAGACAGACCTGCACAGGGGGTACATGAGCACAGCCACGGGGGCCCAGCCATGTGCCCAGTCCTCTGGGTCTTACTAATAGCGCCTTTCAACAGAGGCTCACTGGAGCTGGGACTCCCGAAGAGCCAGCAATAAATGACTAACTACTGGGAAGAAAAATCAGTGGAACCAGAAAACTTGGAAAATAGAGAAAATAAAATAATGACCT